AGATAGATAGATAGATAGATAGATAGATAGATAGATAGATAGATAGATAGATAGATGATAGATAGATAGATAGATAGATAGATAGATAGATAGATAGATAGATAGATGGATATAGATGGGGAGAGGAGGGAGGGAGGGAGGGAGAGGTATCAGCAAATGACTTTTAGAGGCTAATACAAAAATGTTCTGGTAAAGTACTGCTTATTGATACAGCACTTGAAAACACAAGATCCCTACTAGAAAATATATTTGATAAGCTACTTAATCTATGGGGACTCTTAAATGTCTTACTACATTATTTTACATTCCTATTTTATTTATTGAAGTTTACTTATATTCCTGCTGCCTGAACCGAAAAAGGGACTTATTATTACCAAGCTTTAACTTCTTCTCCAGGCTTCTCAAACAAAAAGATGGCCAATGGACATGCAGGTTGCGAATCGCAGAAGCAGTTGGTGCCACACCTGGAAAGCATCCCTTTCTGATCTAAATTACACCAGGAGGAAGGACAGTTTCCCTTCCCAACTTAGGAAGTGTTGTGTCTATTATCTTCAACACTGGCGTTTCTCCCATATTCTTTTTCTCCCTGCAGGGCAATACTGGCAAGTGGTAGATGGTCCCGCCTCCTCATTGACCATTGAAACAGCTGATATTGCTTTAGGCTCCTATACCATGAATGTGGCAATCTATCATTACCGGGGACGTGAGAAATTCATTCCTATTGGTGGTGCCTCATCTCAGTTCAGCATCACTGGTAAATATTAATGGACTCAGCTGGGGACAGTGCTTGATCAATTTGGGGATTATGTGACATTGTCTCCTGCTTTCTGCACTTAGCCATCTAAAAGATATCCAAGGGTTCCATAATAAAAGCTAGAAAGGCTAGGCTGCTTTGTACACTAATTCCAGCTATCTTTTGATTAACACAGAGAAACTGCTGGACTGATAACAAAACAGTTAATTGTGGAATAACCAAATTGGATTCCTGAGAGGAACGGAGCAAATTTGTTTTAGAAAAGCTGCCCCATTGATGATGTGACCTTGTTTGATAAGGAAACATCTGGAAAAAAAAACAACCAAGCGCGGAGAGCACCAAGAACTCCACAAGCTGCTCATTCTCTCCAAATTAAGTTTCCATGCCCACTGTTGATTTTCTGCTTCCTTTCCCAGACCAGATCCCGTTCCAAGTGAACATTGCACAACTTCTTGATACCGATGGGACAGATAGTCGCTTTGTGCGAAACCGAGCCATCTCCTTTGCTGTGCAGCTCCATGATCCTAGTCAATACCTCCATGATGCTGACATCTCCTACTCCTGGGATTTTGGTGACCAGAGCGGGACCCTGATTTCTCGATCAACCATGGTCACTCACACCTACCTTTCCGCTGGTACCTTCAGCCCTCGCGTGGTGGTTCAGGCTGCCATACCTGTGGCCTCATGTGGAGGCAGTACTTCAGAAGACCCATTCATCATGCCCACAACCCTCATGACCACCACCACTCCGAGTGGAACTACGGTTCAAGCTTCCAGTGTGTTTTCCACTATAAATAGCATCACTGGGGCAAGCACTGAAGAGGCTGTGACTTCTGGTAAGTACTCATCTGCTTAGCTGATTTTAGCCAGTATCCCATCTATTGTCAGATATTTCAAACTCAGGTTCTCTACCAGGACTAAATGTACTTTTCAAATAAACTGGGATATAGCTAAGGAGTTGACATAATTCGTTTTGTGTCTAGAATGAATGTTCAGGTCCAGGGTAGAAGTGTTAAGAGCTTTTAACAGGAAGTGGAACAACAACATTGTACTACAGCAGTAGAAAATTGAAGAGTGTTTTTCAACCTCTTCTAGAAAAAAATGGAATGTGAAGAGGTCCCCAGTTGATCAGCTAAAAGACAATTGTCTATCTTTTCTAATCTTCAAAACCATTAAGGACCTTTTTATATGATGTAATAATCTCACTCTCATTTCACACTGAGTGATGAGTCCAAACAAAAATGTAGAAGTTGGGGGGATGCTTGTTTGTTGTTTGTTTGTTTTGCTGCCCATTCTCTAGAAGGTTAAACATGTTTTTAAAAGCTGGGCATTCATGGTTAAAACATTAACAATGAATAGGATAAAAAGGATCAATAGATAAATGGGGTGGAGGTAGGATTCCTTAGAATCCTTTCCAAGGGAAGCTGAGATTTGGGGAAGCTTCTTAAAGTAAATAAGAAAACCTGGAAACATCAAATATTCCTGAGGTGAAAAAGAGTTCAGTTTTTATTCTGCTCCTAGATTTTCCAAATTTGAATAATTTTTCACTTTGATCACACTAGAACACTATTCAAGTATTTTCATACCAAGAATGTCCTTAAGCATTTATATCGAGGTATCCAA